GGGCCCCCTCTCGGCCATGCTGGGGTGACCCGTCCAGGACCAAGTAGCTGCTCATGGAAACCTCTGGGGAGGAGGGCCCGGCGTCCGTCCTGTCCCTCTCTCCTGCTTCGTGTGTGCGTGTCCCCTCTCCATCGGGCACGGCAGACCCCCAGCCCCTTGTTTCAATCCTGGCCCCGGGCTGCTTGAGCTCCTGAAGTGAGCCCTCGGTCCCCCCCTTGGGAACAGGAGGGGGCACCCCACCATGTGTAGCTGAGGCAGGATGCAGACCGGACGCTAGAGCCTGCTGTGTGACCGCGGCCACACCACTGCCCTCTCTGGGCCTGGCCTCCCCCATCAGCACGAGTGGTCTGGCTTCGTCCCACGCCAGGTTCTCTCAGGGTTTCTGCCTGCCGGTGCTGCCACGTTGGCTGTGGGTGCCTGCCGGGGGGAGGCCCGCGGGGGGCGTGTGAGAACGTCCCTCCTCTGGTGGCTGCAGGGATGGGCTGGCAGGGCCCCGCCGCCGTCCCAGAATCACCTCCAGGCAGAAGCCGCGCTCAGCCAGGCAGGTGGCTGGTGAGGGGCCCGGCCTGGCCTTTGATGGTGAAATGTGAAATCAGGAAGCGGCTGGCTCTTGAGTGAAGTTGTATCGAAATGAATCCTTCAAGGCAAATGGGATCTTGGTTTTCTTTTCTGTTGCGAGGCCGCTGCTTCCTGCGTGGAAACGTGAGCGATGACAGGGCGCTTTCGGCCGAGAGCCAAGAGGCACGGGGGACGGAGCGCACGCTGGATGGGAACGTTAGACCCGGGACCTGTGTGCGGCCCTGGATCGCCTGCCTTCACACTCCGGGGCGGCCCACACGGTCTGTCATCCGGGGGGTCCAGAGGGAAAGGGGCTGCGTGTGTTGTCTACACGGGTAGCAAATGCACGACACGCATAGGACCACTGCATTCCTGTGCCCATAATTGAATTCAGATTCATTCCCAGCCCTCACAGCGTTTCCTACCACGAGATGGGGGATTTTAACTGAAACCCCTTTGCTAACTCTGGTCTAGGCTGCCAGCGGTCTGTGCCTGCTGCCCTGCCTGCAGACTGGGTCCCAGAATTGTGCCCGTCGGTGGCACGGGCGAAGTGGAGACGTATCTATCTTTCTCACGGGTGGTGCCGGGGGGCTCAGCCCTGTCGCCTCTCCAGTGGGGGCCTGGCCTTCTCCCTGCGTCCACCCAGGCTTTCCCACAGCTCCTGGTTCCCGGCTGCCTCTGGCTGAAACCAGAGCAGGTGTGGGGGTTGGGGGGTTTGGGGGATTAGGGGCTGACCGTGAAGCGAGGCTGCTGAGCGCCCCACGGCCGGCCCTGCCATTGCGTCCATCCCCCTGCGGTGGAGTCCGCATCCTCTGTGCTGCGGGGCCTGCACGGCGACTCCGAACGCACCTCCTGCTGCCCGTCGGGCTCCGCTGGGCTGTTCGGAGTTCTCTGCGGGCCTCTGGCTCCACAGGAAACCAGCCTCTCCCTGGTGAGGCGCGTCCCGAACCCCAGGGAGAACACAGAGAGAGGCTTCTCTCCCCAGCGCGGCCCTGCGGGCAGAGCTGGCCTCCCGGCCGGGCCCACCTCCCGCTCGCTTGGCCAGCCTTCCTTCCAGGAGCTGCCCGGGAGCTCCGTCCAGCAGGACCCCGTCCATCACCACCACCACCTCCAATGCACACCCCTCTTCCCAGCTCTCCAGCCCCTCGCGTCCTAGACACCCTGCAGGTCCTATCAGGGAACTAGCTGGGCCAGCCAGGGGAGACCTCAGGGAGGGGCGGGGCCTGCGGCGAGCTGGGGCAGGAGGGCGGAGAGCCACCCAGCCTGACCGTGGCCACAGAAGGACAGAGGCCCCGTGTTCCCAGATCCCGATTTTCAACACAACCTGGGAGATGTGAGTGTCTGTGAAATCTTCCTCTTTGCAAGCGTCGACTCATCTTTTTAAACAGCACCGCGTGGGCCTCTGGCCAGGCCTCTCTGTGGCCGCACACACACGCGCTCGCGGGACGCGGGCAGGTCCCGTGGATGCCATGTTCTTCGCCGCCGTGGCTCCCCGCGGCCTGGTCCCCACGCTACCTGGCAGGTCAGCGTGTCCTCCTCTCCCCTGCCGTGCTCACGCCCGCTCGGGGACGTTGGGCCTGATGGGGGCACATCTTGGTGACTCAGGACCCTCCTCCCTCAGGTGGAGATCACAAGGGCACCTGCTCCCTCCACGAGTGAGGGGAGGTCACGTGAGTTGGTGACCGGTGACCGTCAGCATCCTCCTAGCAGAGTGTAGGCGCTGAGCAGGGTGAGCCGACCTCTGCTCTTAGCAGTCACCTCCTCCGAGAAGCCTTCCCAGACTCTTTGAGGACAGACCGCCCCCCCTCCCCTGGCCCTGCAGCACCTGTGCACCCGCATCCCAGCACCCGTCTGCCTGGCTTCTCCGCCACCTGGACTGGGCGCACCTGGAGGGGGAGCTGTGTCTTCTCACTCGGCCAGGGCGGCCGCTGTAGAGGCTGCTGAGGGGGGTGGGCTGTGAGCAAATGGGGGCGGTAGGCCTGGTGAACTGGGGGTGACAAGCCAGGCCAGGGGTGAGGCTGGCGGGCCCCCCAGGGCGCCACATCCCCCTCTCCCTGCAGCAGCCCTGGGCCTGGACGCAAAGGCACAGGAAGTGAAATTGACAGGCAGGGACCAGCCCCCTTTCACTCCAGGTGTGAGTGAAAGGGACGAGCCCCCGGAGGTGGGAGGGGGCGGGCGTGAGTCACCGTGTGTCACGGAGGTTTTTCTGGATCATCTTTCCGTTTCAAAAGCACGAAGCCCTGTTACTACGGCCCGAGAGCCCGGAGCGCCGAATGACTGTCCCCGTGGGCCGCGGCTCGTCTCGCCTGGTAAAGTACCTGGGAGTTTTCTTTGCTCCCAGCAGGGTTGGCAGCGGGGCTGTGGGCCTCACGGCGTTGTGACGGTTCCATGCCGGCCTGTTCCTGTGCCTCTGAGCCCTGACTAATTCTTCTCCCCTTTGAGCTCACGTTTAAAAAAAAGAAAAATCATACAAAAACCCTCTGTGGTCAACCAAGACGTGCTTTGAGCCCAGCCCACTCCGGCACGTTTCTGGAGGCTGCGAAACTCCATTGAACTGCCTGTCATCACAAGGGAGCCGGCGAGTGGGGGGGGAGACAGTCAGATCACACGAGTCCTGTTTCTCGCCACGGCGCAAACAGGCGCCTGCCGGAAGCGGCCCGTGGGAAGGAGGGGGGCCGGCGAGGGCCTCGGCGAGTCTTTGCTGGGAATGATGGAGGTTTCTTGCGTTCTCACTTTCCATGACTCGCGTACGGTTATGACCCGGGACTTTTTGTGTGTGGGGTCCGGGCTGGGTGTTTGTGATTTTCAGGAGTTCTGGTAGGAGTCAGGCGGGGCGTGCATGGGGCGAACCTGACACTTACCCCAAACTTGTGTCCCGTGCGTCATTGCCAACGACCCTCGCTCATCAGGTGGGTCACAGGTTCGAGAGGTGCTTGGTGCGGCTGAGAGAATGTGTGGTGTAGAGTCCACGGGGCTTGGTCCCTCCCGGGCAATGTGGTGGGATCAGTCCCCCCACCTCTCTGAACCCCAAGTCTTCGGGAATCTGTGATATAGGATGAAAGGGACGGTGTGCAAACAGGCCCTGTGGCAGAGCGGGTGAGACGTGGTGGCTGCCAGTGGCTGCCCCTCCTCCCACTCCCCACACTCTAGGCAGATGACCTTGGAGCCGGCAAAGGTCGGCCTCAGAGGCATTCGCTTGCAGGGGTCCTTTCACGGCCCTCAATCACATCTCATTTGTTTACTGTTGGATCCCAAACAATAGGAGCTTCGGCCTGATAAAGCCTGGTCTGTCCCTGACCCTGAGCCTCGATAATGCCGAGTAAAGACGGACCGGCTCATGGACGTTAGAGCCGTGGCTTCCTCTGTGAGAGGGCCCCGCTAGGGATGTATGTGTTCACCTTGTTTGCAGTTGCTGTGAAAAGTGTTGGCTTAACACCCCACATGGGAATCGGATCGGAGGGGCCAGTGGACCTGAGTAGATGGCAGCTGGGTAGTCCTTGCTTCACCGTGACATGTGTTCAGTCGGCTTCCGTGGCAGGGAGAGCGGTGTAGAGGGCTGGGTCCCAGCTGGGGTTCCTCAGCCACATCCCTGCACCCCTGATGCCACACGAGCCTCGGGCGGGGCTGAATGGACCACGCTGGCTGTGAGGGGTGCGGGGCAGGCACTCTGGTCCCCGCAGGAGAACATGGTGTTGGGCTGGTCTTCAGCTGGTTCCTCGGGCTGGTTGCTCTGTAATTTAGTTGCGATTTCGATTCGGGCCCGGGAGGAGGTGTCACTTCCGCTTGCTCCCTCCGCCGCCATCTCGGACCCCTCCCTCCTGTCCCCTTTCAGCTGGGCACGGACCGACCCCGAGGGGCCCAGCCCTGCGCCCAGGTCCTCTCTGCCCCGAGGGGCCAGGCTGGGGTCCTTGAGGTGCGGTGCTCTTCCCACTGCCACCTCGTTGCTCCTCCAAGAGGCCACCAAAGACAGGGTGGCCGTGCCCACAGGTGTCTGCTCTGGACAGAGTGACCGCGCACGAGCTCCCCCCGCCAGGGGTGGGCGGAGCTAACAGGACCCGGAGGGCCTGTGGGCTGGGCTCTGTGCCCAGCGGTCGCCACGGCCTCTCAGTCCAGCCAGGCCTGCTCCTCTCCCGGGTCCCACCCGCTCCCCTGGACTGTCAGGTTCAAGGTGAACCTGAGGAGGGTGGCAGTGGTCCCACTGGTGGGGGTGGAGCCGTGATGCTGTCACCAAGAGCACAGGCTCTGGGGTCTGTCTGGCTCGGGTTCCATCCAGGTTCAAACTTAACCACTGTGAGCCTCAGTGTTTGTATCTGTGTAAGGGACGCAATGGTACCAGCTGCTTCTCAGCCTAGGCCTGGGGACTAGCCCAGAGAATGCACAGAAACCACGCAGCACACAGCCTCTATCAACATCGTTAATAGGCCCTGGCCAGTGTGGCTCAGTGGGTAGAGTGTTGGCCTGCGGACTGAAGGGTCCTGGGTTCGGTTCCAGTCAAGGGCACATGCCTGGGTGTGGGCTCAATCCCCAGTGGGGGCATGCAGGAGGCAGCCGATCAATGATTCTCTCTCATCATTGATGTTTCTCTCTCTCTCCTCTCTGAAATCAATAGAAATATATAAAAAAGAAACATCATCAACCCCATGGGGCTGGTGTGAGTGCTCGGAATGGGTTAGCGGGGCCGTGGCGAGAGGTCACAGTCTAAGGCGGGTGAGGTCCCCCGCGGGCGACCTCACTAACCAGGGTGATGGGCAGGGGCGGGACCCACATGCTC